CCAAGTCAGCCTTCCGACGGCTCTCGAGGCCCCCTGGTGGCTTCCAAGAGACCCCAAGAGAGGTCCGAGGGGCGTCCCGGGACGGTCCGAAGAGGCCCAAGTCGTCGATCTCCCTGTGTTTTTTTCAATGTTTTTGGCCTTCTCGCGTTTTCGAGCTTCCAACGCTCCAAGAACGCCGAAGAGCCGCCCAAGACCGTCCCAAGACCACCCAAGAGACCCTCAGGACGGCCCCAAGACGGGCCGAGAAGGCTCCAAGATTGCCGAAGAGGCGCCCAGGACAGCCCCAGACTACCCCAGAAGAGGCCCAAGATAGGCCCAAGAGCGGGAGCAGGAGGCTTCAGAGACCTCCGAGAGGCCTCCGGCACCCCCGAGAGGCCCCCAACACACCCCCGATCCCTGAGAGTCCCCAAGAAGACCGACGAGGCTCCAAGAACAGCCCAAGAGAACTGCGAGAGCCGCCCCGAGAGAGCCCAAAATAGTTAAAATCGTTGATTTCCCATGATTTTATCGTGTTTTTCGCCTTCTCACGTTTTCCCGCTTCCAACCCTCGAAAAGGATTTTTTTTTTTTTTTTTTTTTCCCAAAATTTGATTCAAAGGAAATTCGGGGAATTCTTTTTTTTCAAAGTGGGACTCCTCCTCGGAGATCCCACACATGCCCTGACATCTGGCCCGTACCGCGCCTCCCGGTTTCCCGGGGGGGGCCCAAGACGCCCAAGGACAGCCCAAGACGTTACCAAGGAGCCCCCAGAACGTGAAGAACGACCCAACACGCTCCCGCGCAATCCGAGACACCCTTCCGACGGTTCTCCAGGCCTCCAGGAGGCCTCCAGAACCCCGTGGGGTCCGAAAGATCCCACACCCCTGAGGGGTCCGCCGGCTAACAAAACCCGCGAAGGCACAAACAAAAAACAGCGCCGAACAGCGCCGAGGAGCTAAAAAAAATGGGAATCCCCAAATTCAATTTTTTTCAGAGTTTGGCCCCTGGTCTACTTTTGCACAACAGACCACAATTCAGACCCCCCTCACCTCCCAAAAAAGAACCCAGGAAGCCTTTTAGGGCCCCAAATCTTTGGATACCTAAAGGAAATTAATGATTTCTGCGTTTCCACACTTCCCCTTCTACACGATTCCGAGGCTTGCGCAGGGCCTCCAAGGGAGTCCCTGGACGCAAGAAGCGACCAACATGATATTTATTACATGAATTAGCCCATCAAGCCGAGCTAGAACTTGAGCGCGCGCGAAGCGCGCGCAATATACACATTTGTGTATACGAATGTCTATGATTATACACGCATGGGAGGGGCAACCAGGATTCCCCGTGCGCAGTGGTGACGACGACGCTTTTTGAAGACGCTATTGGCCGAGGGCGATAAGACGGGTGAAGACGCTATTTCAAGTGAAGACGCTATTGCCTAACCAGAGGGTGAAGACGCGATTCCCGATGAACACGTGCTTCCTGGTGAAGAGGCTATTCCGACAGGGATCATTGCGCGAGACGGCATGTGGCATATGCGCTATCTCCACCGCAGACTGTAGCATGGGTGCAGACTCCGTTCCAATTGAAGACGTTGTTGCCGAACCAGAGGGTGAACTCGCTTTTCCCGGTGAAGACGCTATTCCTGAAGACGCGGCTTTTGGTGAAGCTGAAGACGCTAGTCTGGTTGAGACGCTAATCCTGTTGAAGACGCTTTTCCCGGTGAAGACGCCACTCCTTGTGAAGGCGCTGTTCCCAGTGAAGACGCTTGTCGTGGTGAAGACGCTATTCTTTGTGCAGACGCTATTTGTGAAAACGCTTCGCCCAGGGAAAACGTTACCCCTGGCAAAAAAAAGCAATTCCCGGCGAAGACGCGACTGCCATCGATAACGCAATTTCAGTCGAAGGGCCCGCGTTTGTTTCGTCATATACATTCGATACAACGTCTACAACGTATACACCGTATACATCAGCCCCACGGTACACAACATATGCAGCAGGGACAACATATATCATTCATACAACATGTGCACACATTACATCATATACATCATACTCAACATATACAACGGGCGTGGAGGAGTTGGCAACATGAGCTGGCAATACACGCTATCTCCACGCTCCGCTGCCCGGGGCCCAACAAAGTCGGGCCCAGAAAGAAAAGCGCATCAATACAGGTCCTGGTGAGGAGAACCCTGCGGACTTCGGGGCGAAGGACTTTGCGCGTCTAGCCATAGAGAAGCACTTGACGGCGCGCGACTTCCATTTCATTCGGGGGAGTCGCTGTCGCGCGCTCGCGGCCCTCATGGGGGGAGACCGCGGGTACGTGGACGTCGGGGCTGACAAAAGAGCGAAACGGCCGTGTTGGGCGGACTTTTCGGAGGTCGGGTTCAAGGTGAAGTCCTTGGACACCGCGTTGCACCTCTTGGATATAAAGGGAGTGCGGAAGACGGACAGCGCGGGCGAGCCGCGCTTGATAAGCGGGCCCGGCTCGAGGAGGGTTGTTCAAGGCAGTGAGGAGGTCCGCCCGTCCGTCAGCCACTAATGATGAACAACCTGTATCGTTTCAGGAGGGGTTCTGGTATTGGGGCCGTTCCTTAGACCTGGGTCGAGGAACCTGTTCGTGGCCAGTGTTCGCCGTGACCAGGAGGCTGAAACATATCTCCGTTCCGAATAGTGGCATATCCGTAATACTCTCAGAATCCCCCAGATTCCGAGGACACTCCTTGAGATTCTGTCATCGGCTTGGGTTCGGGCTTGTCAGGGATAGGGAGAATCTTGAGACTGTTTGCGATGCTCCAGGATTTTGTTTTCCAAGCAGCTTTGTTGAGTTGGACTTTGTCGCGGTAAGGGCCCCCTGCTCGTAGGATCCTCCCAGATTAAAACTGTTGTTCGGCTCTGGTTGTGGGCAGCCCGAAACAACTTGCCAGCACGTTTCCCTGAACGCACCGAAGGTGCCTGGTGGGGCGCGCCCCTGAGGCGCCCAAAGGTTTCATGCCATGGCGCCTCGCTGAGGCGACAAAAGGATTTTGCCAGCACGCACCCGTGAGGCGCCCAAGGGTGCATGCCATGGCGTTACTCTGGGCAGCCCGACGGTACATGCCGGGACGCTTCCATGAGCAGCCCGAAGATATTTGCCAGGGCGCTTCCGTTAGGCACCCGAAGGTATACTTGCCAAAACGTTTCCTTCAGGCGTTCGAAGCTACCTGCCGGTACACTTTCCGAGGCATCCAAAAGATACCAACAACAACGCGTTTTTCGGCTGCCTAGCAGTACCTGCCAGAACGCTTCTGTGAGGCGGCTGTGAGGCGGCTGGCGGTACGTGTCAGGACGCTTCCATGCGCAGCCCGGAGTTATTTGCCAGGACGTTTCCCTTGGCAACCCGAGGGTGCATGCCATGGCGTTTCCCTGAGCAGCGTGGGGACACATGCCAACATATATCCCTGAACAACCCGAAAGTATCAGCCAGGGCGCGCCATTGAGGCGCCCGAAGGTACTGGCCAGGACGCTTCCCAGAGGCGCCCGAAGATAACGCTTCCCAGAGGCGTTCGAAGTTGCTTGCCAGTGCGCTTCTTCAGGGATCCCGAAAGTGCATGCAAAAGCATGTTTTTCGCTGACCGATGGTGCCTGCCAGGTCGCTTCCGCGAGGCGCCCGGCGGTACGTGCCATGACGCTTTCCTGCGCAGCCCGAAGCTATTTGCCAGGACGCTTCCCTTGGCAGACTGAGAGTACATGCCAGGGCCAATCCCTGGGCAGCCCGACGCCAGCAATCAGGGCGGTTCCCTGAGGCGCCCGAGTGCACCTGTCAAAACGCTCCCCCAGGATACCCGAAGCTACTTGCCCGGAAGCTTCCTTGTGCAGGCCGAAGTGCTCGCCAAGACGCGTTTCGGAAGCGCCCGGAGCTACCTGCCATTCGGGCTCGATGGAGTAGCCCAAAAGGAAAGAAGCCTCCCCGAATGCGTTCCGCAAGCCTCGCTTCCTCCTTCTTCTCTCATCCTTCTCTCGTTCCTCCTGCTCATGACTCCTTCTCGTTCTCCCCCCTCCTCGCTCGTCCCAGTCCCTCTTCTTCCTGCTTGCCTTCCTCTCCCTCCGCTTCTCCTCCCCCCCCTTCCGTCGTCACTCCCAGACTTCCGACCCCGTGCAGTTGCAATCCGTGGACCCCCTGAGCTCTCGGCGCCCCAGGACGCGAGCTAAATTGCGTTTTGGGCGCTCTCGTGGACCGTTTTTTTTGGTTCCGTTCTGCAGCAAAGGTGGAACGAAGACAGAACGAGGCAGAACGAGAACAACACGAAAGCGGAACACATTGCTTAGCTCGAGCCTTGCGACGCTAGTCCCATGCTGCGTCTTGATGCCCATATGCGCCCCGAAGCTCCGCCCCCAGAGCCAGCGATGTTTTTTTGCGGAACCCACATCAAGGCTCGGCGGCGAGCGAGGAGGGGCAGTGAGAAGGAGAAGGCCTTCTCTGAAGGCGGCGGGACTTCTCAGAAGCCCTTGCTTCGTCGGAGGAGGTTCGTGCATCTTCGGGGAAGGCTCGAGAAGCTTTGCAGAAGGCCGGGGAACTTCCGAGCCCTCTGAGAAGGCCCGCCCTTTTTCACTGGCCCCGGCCGCCACGTCGGCGCGGGTCTGGACGTGGTCGCGGCGGCGCCTCAGAAGTCCCATAGAGAGGCCGCCCGGAACGCCTCAAGATTCCGAGCCTCGACCGTTGAGATCTGCGTCTGCCTCATCTTTCACGAACGGCGAGCGTATCCATATCCGCGCCCTCGCGGTCTGGATCCTGGGGCGCGGTCCCGTGGATACGCGTTCGCATGGATACGTCCCGCGCGGGGCATGAGCGAAAACACGCTCCGTATCCCAGTTGGGTCGCTGCCCAAGGGCCCAACCCGCGAGGCCGCGCACACGGATAACATTTCCGCCCGCGAATCCTCCTCCAGCTCTTTTGCCGTCCAGCGCCACCTCCACCAACCCGCGCCCTCTCCTCCGCTACCTTCCCCCCCCACCCTCCGCCTGGGGGCCGACGAGCCCTAGGACCAGAGCATGAAGATGTACCGCGAGGCGGGGCCCTGAAGGGGGGAGGAGGAGGACGAGGAGGAGCAGGAGCAGGAGCAGGAGCAGGAGGACGAGGAGGAGGACAGTTGTAAACCCAAGACGCATCAACGCTGTTGTAATCAAGCCTAAGCGCGCAATCCCGTCGGCAAGCAACGCGGCGATTCCGCTGCTGCAAAGCGCGCGCGCGTGCCCGCGCGCGCGAGGAGCCCTTCTCCGAGACAACGGCCCCGACATCCGTCACTGGCAACCCGTAGCACCGGTGTTGGGCGGGGGTGACTGTAGTCTGGGGGGGTTCTAGTAGTCTGTAATCCGGGGGTGGGTCTTTGTAGTCCCCGGAGGTGGTCCTTGTAGTCTGGGGTCCGGGGGGGGTCCTTGTAGTCCCGGGGGGGGTCCCGTAGTCCGTGCAGGGGGTGCCCTTGCAGTCTGGAGGAGGGGCCCTTGTACTCCGGGGGGCCCTTGTAGTCCGGGGGCCCAAAATTATTGAGGTACTCAAAGTAGGTCCCTAGTACAATAATTTGTTTTCATTGCGGGAAGAGGCCCATGCGAAGACAATCGTCTGAGAATCTTCACTCGTGCCAAAGCAAAGCGCCTGGGACTTCAGAGACATGGATTCAAGTGATTGCTGCGTCTTGACAATCAAAAATCGCACCATCACACCACTCTTGGGACTTCAACACCGCGAACAAATGTGACGATTGTGTATTGATAGTCCTAAATCGCGGTAGAACACCGTTCCAGGGACTTCAACCATGCGAATATTTGAAGCGGTTGCAATATGATAGACCGACCGCGCGCGGCTCCAAGGCGAGAGACACATTTCGAAGAGGAATTGCCCTCTATGCTTGACATTGTTGTACTTATCAAAACAAAAAACGAGTGCACGCGGCGCTGAGGCGAGAGCGACCTTTTGAAAGCGACCAGCCCTCCATCCGTGCAATTGTTGCAGACATCTAAAACGAATGTACGCGGCGCGGAAGCGAGAGTCACATGTTGAGAAGGACCTGCCTTCCATCCGTGAAGCTGTTGCAAGTTCTTAAGACGATTGCTCGCGGAGCTGAGGCGAAAGTCGCATGTTCAGAACCACCCGCCCTCAATCCGTGAAATGGTTTCACAAGTTTTAGACGAGTGTGCGCGCCGCTAAGGCGAGAGCCGCAAAAGGATCTGCCCTCCGTCCGTGAAGCTGTTACAAAAATCAATATTCAGGAGAATCAAGTGTGAGAGAGTCTCAGGCGAAACGACCAGCACGCCCTACCAACACGTCTGGGGGTGCGACATGGAGGAGTTACCTTAAAGGAAAACGGGTGGAGGAGGAGGAGGAGGAGGAGGAGGAGGACGCGGCGGCGGAGGGAGGAGGACAGAGGATATGGGGAGGAGGGAGAATGGGGGAGAAGGAAGGATGGGGAGGGAGGAGGAGGAGGATCAGGATCAGGCGGAGCGTATGAGGAGGCAGGGAACAGCGAGAGAAGAGGAAGGACGAGGGGAGGGAGGCGGCTGCGGCCGAGGAGGAGGAGGAGGCAGGAGGAGGGCGGTTGGGGGAATACGTCAGCGGATCGCCGAGGAGTGGCGCCAGGAGATTTTTTTTTGCGCGGGCGTCGTCGTGGGTGGCCGCGAGCGGTGGCAGGTGTCTCCAGCTGGTAGGGCGGTGCTGGCGGCGGCGGCGGTTTTGTGGCGGCGGGCGGCGGTTCCGTTCGTCGTGGATCGAGGCTCGACGATCCTCCTCCTTCTCCTCCTCCTCCTCCTCCTCCTCCTCCTCCTCACTCCTCCTCCTCACGACCTGCAATCCCATCGAGTCCTGGACGAGCCTCCTGGAATCCAACTCGATTTTAGATCGGGCCCTAGAGGAAGGATGCCTGTGATGCCATGCCAGTGATGTCAGGCCCAGGCGCGTATACAGGCACACGGACTTTGCTGTCACGCACGGTGCCCGTGCTTGGAGTTATTGTTGCTGAGAGTCTCTACTTGGGGGATGGAACAATTGACGGGTGGATATGCGGCAGAGATGCGACGACGGACTGATGCGACGAGGACGGCATGGAGAAGGATGTGGAGGTTTTGGAAGATGACTCACTCAACACGTTTGAAAATAATGGCCTTCAAGGGGGTCGTGTTGTCAGCAGCGTACTCTGGCTTAGAGTCGTATCTGCCAGGGAAACATGACCTCAGAAGGTTGGATGTTGTAGTGCTCGCTTTCGCTCGAGTGGTGTTGCGGGATCGCAAGCCAGTGTTCACCGAAGGCGCAGGGTCTCGGCCGAAGTACCGCTCCCTGCCCGAAGCTAAGGTGTTGCAAACATTACGCGTTATTGACACCCGTGCTGGGCTCCTCGTGAGAAGACTTCGTCAATGGCAAAGGTATGCTTCCTACCCCGGCGGCAGCAGACAGCCCCTAGTTGCTATCTTCGGGGCTCTGGAGGGACTGCAGGAGGAGGAGACGTTTCTGGAGGACGGTTCAGTGAGCCCGAAAGCTAACTTTGGGCACGACAGGTACACATGGACCTTGAGGCGCTCCATCACCTTGAGGGCGGTACGGCGTTCTTGGGGCATGTATTCGGTTTGTGATATCTTCCGCGATGATGCTGCTGCTCGAGTATTCGCGAGGTTCAGCCCCGACAAGCTCCGCAAGGTTCCTGCCCTCAGAGGTCCCCCACGAGCGCCTCCTACACAAGTTCCAGAGGACGATCCCCCTGAGGCCGTTACTTGTGAGCTTCCTGGACCAGGACCCGACGGTATCTGTGGGCAAGTCTTTTACAGTGCGGCGGCCCTGCGGGCTCATCAATGCCACCATCCCTCCCACAAACAAACGGTACCTGCACATATGTTGGTTGTGACGAATCAATGCCTTTATTGTATGTCGGGTTTCAAAAGTGTGGTGGCGGCAAAACGACATGTGGTGCAGTCTTTACGGAGGGGTAGGTGTATTTGTGATGGGAGTCCATATGCGCCTGGGCCGATCACACCACCCGGCCTACACTGCCCGTTCTGCGTGGACCCCGAGACAGCGTTCCAGGCATTCATCTTTTGTATGCCACATGGCTCGAGGCGCACTGCGCCTTTCGATTCGTTAGCAGAGTTGCAACGGCACCTGCGAGACGTACACGCTCCCGCTCCACCTGACCTTGTCTGCTACGATGGACTTGGCTCAGCGCGCCCTCAGCATCGGCGCCGAGGAGAGAGGCAGGGCCCTCCGCTCTCGGAGCGGCGAGCGCGGCGCCCCCCGCCGAGGCCGCCAGGCGGACCGCCTTTCCCGCGGGCCCGCAGCGGCGGCGGCGGCGGCAGGGGCGGGAGACGAAGGGCTCTCCCCAGCGGCGGCGGCCGCGGCCGCGGCCGCACCAGGCGGCCCCCCAGGACATCAGCAACAGCAGCAACGCCAACAGGGACCACAGGGAGCCGCGCACGCTCTTGCTCAAGTCTTCGACACAGCGGACAGCAACTACGGCCTGCAGCGCCGCGGCTTCACGCAACTCCAGAATCAGCAGATGTCCATCGAGATGGTCCAGGCGCTGATGCCAGTGGTGATGCGGGCGACTCTCAGGAACATGCAGGGCATCGCAGCGCTCGAGAGCACGGTGTATATGATTGCACACATCCAGGCCGATCACGCGGTTGCCCAGGCAATGCAGTTGACGGCAAGTACTTCGCACAGGAGGCGACGAGGCTGCAACGCGACCACAGGGACGACCTTCGCGCTGGCAGCCCAGTCGGGGCCCTGGAGAAGCTGGGGGTTCCGCACCCCCCCCTAATTATGGCTCGCGCTCGTGGGCTCCCTCCAGCAGCAAGGGGATCGGGGCGGCGCACAGAACGCCACGGCCGTCAAGACCTACCTCGACCGTGTGCAGGCGGGCCCGTTGCTCACGAATGCGTTGCTGGCCCAGCAGGTGAAGTATTGTCGCGTGGCCTACACGCACGACAAGAGCGCCATGAAGATACGAATAGAAGCCCGAGACACGGGCATCCAGTCAGAAGTCTTGGCGGCGTTGGTACAGCTGGGGGCGAAGATCATGAGAGGCACACCGCCGAAGTCGCACCAGGAGAGATTGCTCCAGCTCGCCTTGGACGGACTGGACAGCTAGACATCAGCGATACCGCATCAACAGAGTCGACAGCAGCTCCGACCGTGGCTCTTGGGCACGCGGTTGCGCCGACAACCACCCCGACAATTGCCCCGACATCGGTTGCGAGGCCTGAGCCTGAGTCCAGTGTGAGCAGCGTCATCACAGCGAAAAAGGCCCACCAGCACAGCACTGGTCAGGCCAGCTCATCCTTGCCTCCGCCCCCTCCTCGTCCTCGATTGCCTCCGTCGTCTGAGTCTTCGTCTTGTCGTCCCCGCCTGACCTCCTCCTCGGCATTAGATGCAGCGGTCTACCGACTGATCAGAGGGACCCCGGGTGCCGACAATAATTTTTCCGCGGGTCGACGCCCTGGGACCCTGTAGTTTGAGTGTTCGCTTTTCAGGTTGAGCTCGCTGCCCTTTAATACTCTTGATTTTGTTGTCGGCTCGCCCGCTGTCCAGTTCCGGGGCCGCCGAATTTTGACAGAGACTCGAGGGAGTGGTCTTGCCCCAGGGATATCTCCGTGTTGGGCTCGTGAGACGCTCCCTGGGCCCCCCCCCCGCGTGCGATTGCACCTTTACCAGTGACGCACTCGTGTTCCTTGTGCTGCCTTGCTTGTCTCACGAGTTTCACGCGAGCAGACACGTGGCTCAGCCGAGCACCGCCGCCGCCGCCGCCTTCTCCTCCTCCTCACTCCTCCTTCTCCTCCTCCTCCTCCTTCTCCTCCTTCTCCTCTTCCTCCTCCTCCCCCCTTCCCCCTCCTCTTCCGCCTCACTCTCCTCCTCCTCCTCCTCCTCCTCCTCCTCCTCCTCGTCGTCGTGGATCGACGTTTGAGGCTGCTGGGCGATTGTTTCTTTGGTGTTGGTCTGATTTTCTTGGGCCTTCTGGGAAGACCTCGTGGCCACGGCCGGATCCGCCTCGAGTGCGTCTGGACCCAGGTCTGCCCGAGCACGGTCCGAGATGAATGAAAAGTGGGAGGGTGGGCCGAGAGTTTTGGAGCCGAGGGATGGAGATAAGCAGTCGACCAGAGGTGCCTCGTGGCTGGAGGGTGGCGGGAGTTGGACGTTGGCGATTGTGGCAAAATGCGCCGGGTAGGTGTTGGAAGGCAGCAGTGCTTGGTGCAACCGTCTCCTGTCGCTTTGCATATTTTTGTGAAGTCGGCCCTTGGGGCTTCCACCATGGGGCCAGATTTTTATCTTGAGTCATTTGTTGACGGCCCAAGGGTTGGGAAACAGTCTCCAGATGTCGAAAACTATGGAACACAAGCAGTTACGTTTTTTGCGTTTGCCGGATTTGAGGGGAGACGGTGGCGGTGGTGGCGGAGCGCTCCGTGCAGTTGTGACCACGGACCGCCCCTTTGACGGACCACTTCTTTTGACCGACTGGGTTGACGGTACGTTTGACGCGGCTTCGCTTCGGCCTGGCGGTAACGCCTTCGCGCAGGCGTTCAGGGTTGAGCATGCTCCAGGGGTCCGTTCCAGGCCTCAGGAGCAACAGAAGGGGGCCCGCGCCGCTCGGGGCCTCCCAGATGGTGTCGGAGCAGATGGGGTCGGTCGTTCGCGCCGCATCGCAGACGCGTCGCCGATGCATCGGCAACGGGGCGCGATTTGGAGGCAGATTTCCTTCAGCCAGACCTCGCCGATGCATTGGCGACGCGGTGCGATCCCCGAGCTCATCTGCTCCTGCCCCATCTGAGAGGCCTTCAGGCAGGGACCGATCACAACGCTGTTTAGCTTGGTTTGGGCCCGTGTTTTGTTGTTCGTTTCGTTCTTCGTTGTTGTTCCGTTGTGCTTCGTTTCGGTTTCGCTTTCGTTTGGCACCAGTTTCACTCTAAACGTTCGTTTTAACCGTTCGGTTTCTTTTCGCTTTTCGTTCTAAGGGCCAGCGCATTTTCAACACCGTTGTCCTCGGTCGCTGCCTTCAGGCGCGCAGGTCGTGCGAGAGGTGGCTTCGCGCGGTTTCGGAAAAGCAGGGTCGACGTCGTCACGACAGGCATTTGTTGCAGGGATCCGCGACCAGTTGTCAACCCTGCCCTTGCGGATCCACTCGACGCTTGGGTCGCGGACACCCCCGCTGTCGGAGGCCTAGAGGTTGACACCAACAGAAAGATCGGCGGTGTGCCTTCACCGAGGCAAGACGATCCCGATCTCGGTGATGGTGGCAATATTCGGGCTTCCAGGTGGCCGAAATGGTACCGCCAACACCAAAATCTAGAATCATCTTTCCTTGGTGGAAGCAACCTTCTGTGTTGGCGTTGGTGCGCATTTCCCAGCCTCCGACGCTGGGGCTGACTTGGCTGCAGGCGTCCTTCGCATTCTCGGCCCCAGTCGGCGTTTCAGCAACCTGACCCGCAGGTTTTCAGGGCTTGCATGTGGTTGCCGAATGTCGTCACGCACAGCAGGAGCCCGTTGCAGTGCCCCAGTGAGCGCATCCTGCGCTCCACAGCAGGCGCCAGGGGCGGGGAGCGCCTCCCCGGGGACAGCCCCCAGCCGACCCCCGTGGCAGACAGTCGCCACGCGCCGAAGGCGCTCCGACTCCCCCCGTCGCGGTGCGTCGGCAAGGCGAGGTTGACATCCGTCGGCCCTGACTCCGGATTCGCTGTACTCTGGTCGATCTTCCGATTTGACATTCCGTCGGGAATGCACCCAGACGCTGCGGAAAAACAGGGCGTATATTTCAAAGTAGGCCGGAAACAGCGCCGGCAAAGTGGGGAGTACGCATGTCCGAACCAAAAGAGCCAGATAAGTAGGGCGGAGATCGCCCTACTTGAGAAATTGCCCAAAGTACGACTGATCCCGCGTCAGGGTACCCATACACCCCGGATCCATTTTCGATCATCCCGGAATTCGAGAGTGTCCCCAGGAGGCTGAACCGAGGGCAGGCGCAGGGGATCAGTCTTTGGGAGGCCTGGGCATGGGATCCCTGCCGTGACCCGTCAGAGAGGGAGAGGACCAGTATTCAATGTGTGTGTGCAGGGCGGCCAAAGGAGCGGCGCCGTGCCCCCAGCGCCTCCTGCGGGCCCCGCGCGCGGCCGCCCTCTTTGTTGCCCACACGTGGGAGTGACCCTTCGCCTGGGCGACCTTCGTTGCGAGCCCAACGGGGTCCCCTCGATGGCCGACTGCGAGGCGATAGCAGTGCGGCTCGAGCGCTTGGGTTTTCACCCACCCGCTCCCCTTGAAGCCGCGCACCCAGGGTCACTCATGCCCAGGATCGCTCGCGTGTGCAGCCCATGTTGGGCGCACTGGGAGGAGTTGCCTCTGACCTCTTACCTTGACAGTGGTGACCTTGACCTTTGAGCCCTCGCCAGGCGAGCATGTTCCTGCGCTCGCCCTTCTTCCTGTACTACACGGGGACCTTCGAGCCCCCTCCAGGTGAGCAGGGCTCGGAGGACTACAAGCAGTTCGCCGCAAGGCGGCAGAGGGAATGGGCGGACTCAGGCGGGATGGGCACCCCACCTGCACGCGCGCACCATCCCGCCATTCCGGCCACTCCGTTCCCCCAGCCCTCTCCGCGCGGGGGCCTTGAGACGGGGGTCGATGCAAACGGGGGTCAGAGCGCCAGATCTTGCAGGATCCTGCAGAGCCAGGGGTGCACCGACCCGGGCTCGGGCGCAGGATTCTGCAGGACCTTGCAGGATCTTGCAAGGCTTGACGGACCCAGGTTTGGATCGACCCCGGTCAGTCGATCCCTCACCCCCGATCCGCCCCACTTCCTTCGGGGATCCCCCGACGGTGCGGTGACCACACCGAGCCGCGAGCCGGTGGGGACTCGGGGCCTGGTCGGTGCCTCCGAGGCTGCCTCGGGCGGCGGGCCTCCGGGCTCCCGCAGCGGACCGTGCGGGCGAGGACTGCACGGTCTGTCGCCGCGCCGCCCTGGGGATGGGCACGCGGGATGGTGCGCGCGCGTGCCGGCGGCAGGCGGCGGGGAAGGGGAGCACCCGGATCTCCGACGTGGAGGTTCGTTCAATCCTGGCGTGCCTCCCCGCATCCGAGGTGGGATTCTCGTTTCCTGGAGGCACCGCTTCGCAGGATCGTGCGTGGCCTCAGCCTACCCTCTCCTTATGCCTTCAGTGTTGCACTCGTCAGCAGCATGATCACGCATATCCACACTCTCTCCATCATATCATCAATTGCTCGCTGAGTGTTTTGATCGTTGTGATGGTGCGTGCCGCCCACTGCGACTCAAGTCTGAATTGGTGCAGGCTCCCTTGCAAGGCATCACCCTCTGTCTCACCGAAGCTGTGCGATGCGGAGTTCGGGACTTGGGAGCATCCATGGTGGCGCGCGCGGCGGCGTCGAGTTGCCCTGCCTCGCCATCCCTGCTCGTGTCTGTGCCAGCGCAGACGGTCAGGTGCCCGAGCCCTCGTGCGGCGGCTTCGTCCTGGCCTACGCGGTGGCGGCGCCGTCGGTCGTCCTGGCCCTTGCCCCTGGTGCTGCAGGCGGCAACCATCTCGTTCGTCGGGTGGTGGGTGCCACTGCCCTTGAGGTGTCCTCAGTCACCCTCGAGGCGACGGCCCGCGCGCAGCTGAAGGCGATCAAGGATGAGAGGCTTCTTCCTCGTGATCCTGGCCCATCAGTTGTCCTGGGTTCTGGTCCGAGATCGGTCTGGAGGAGCTCATGTACGGCACGCGAGGCTCAGCGTGTCCCGCGGGCCTGGATCATCAGTGTATGTCATCACCCCAGATGGAGATCGGTATGAAACAATGGTGTGCCCGACGATGACATCGTTTCGATCACGTTGCTGGCTGGGCAAGGGGGAAAAAACCGCGGGGCTGGCCGCGTATGGGTTCCAAGCGTTGCCGTCAGCCTCTGACGTCTGGGTGGGCGTCATGGAGGCCGTCGCTCTCTTCGGTGGCCCCCGCTTCGGCTCGCCCTTCCACATGCCCCTGGCGACGGGCAACGTGGGCGGTCGGGTGGCGGGCGTGCTCGCGCTGGCGGACCCAGCGCTGCCCCCGCCCGCGGCGGCCCTTGACGCGCCTGACGGGCCTGCTGCGAGGGCCCTTGGCGGGGCGATGGCGGTCGTGGGCGGACCTGGTGCTGCGCCAGCGCCTCCAGGCTGGGGCGTGGCGATGCCCGGTCGGGCGACGGCCTCGGCGGGCGCGGGCGCCGCGCCCGCCGCAGCGCCTGGAAGCCTCGCGCTGCCAGCACCGCTCGGCGCCCGCCGCCGCTGCGGCCGCGGCCGCGCCTCCCCCCTGGGGCTGTGCCTGGGTTGGCCCCGCCATGGCAGCTGCGAAGGGTGCCCTCTCCCTACCCGCGGCTGGCCCTGGGGCTGCGGCGCCTGTGCCCGCGGTGGCCCTGGGACCAGTGTCTGTGCGCCAACGCCGTGAGCATCGACATCAGCGGGGACCGCGGGAAGGACTGCCGCGAGGGTGCGAAGCTCTTCCTGTCTGCGGGCTGGCGGGACTGGCCCGCGCGCGGGCCGAGGACTGCTGCTTGGGCGCGTGCCCGCATCCAGCGTCAGGCCGCGAACAGGCCCTTCTTTGCCGCATCCTTGACCTGGCCGTTTGCCTCACTCAGGTCAACGCGGGGGAGCTCGCACACCTGGAGATGACGGCGCGGCTCCTTCAACTTCTAGTGGAGAGGGTGGTGGAGCAGTCGATCAAGCCCGAGGGCGGCGACAAGAAAGGGAAGGGAAAGAACGACACGCTGGACGATCGGGGCGGGAACAATTTGCTCCTCGGCGCCCAGGAGAGCAGGGGAAATGTCTGCGCTTGCCCGCTGCTCAGCACATGGATTGCGAATGGGTTGAAAACCGAGGCTGCGTTGGCTATAGTGCGCAGGCAGGCCCGTTGGGAGCGGGCGTTGCGCCACTGGCCCCAGGGCTTCGCGTTCCAGTGGCAGGCCCCTCTTCGTGGCCGCTGGGGCTTCCCGAGCCAGGAGCTGCACCGCTCTGGGATTGTCGTCGTTCGAGGCCGCGGGCGCAGCATCTTCCCGCTTCCTCAGGTCGCTGTGGATGCTCGTCGTGAATATTGTGTCTCGCGCCGTGCTCGTCAGCGCTGTGACCGAGGGGCTGCTTGGCGCGTCTGGACCAAAGAGTGCATTGACAGCCTCAACCAACACAGTGGCCATCGCGACTGTGGGCGGGAGGTTTCGTCTTCCGACGGCGCAGACAACCTACCTCAAAGGCTAGCCCTGTAGCGCATAGCTGGATCATTTCAGTTATTTTCGTGGCCTGCTGACATGCCTGTCGACAAGGCCAACTCGGATGCCGCCTTTGATGAGCTGCTCCGACATTGGCCTGGTCTTTTAGAAGACGATTCCGTGGTTAGACCCTATGCCAAGGACTCAGCGTCCTGGCCTGCTGCTGGCACGACCCCCACGCCTCTGTCCAGTCTACGCAGTGCGGCCGCCCTTTCAAGGCTAGAGCCATGGAGGGCGAGCTTGCTGGTCTCCGAGTCCGTTGCAGTTGCCAGACGTGAGGAGTCTGGACCAGTCAAGCCTTGCGTCGGCCCCTTGGTTTGAGCTGCCCCGACCGCTGCGCCGGTTTTCCGCGTCGACTTGATGCGGCAGGGATGTTGAGTTTCCGTCCGCGCAGGGATCGCGAGCGGCCCTCGGTGGGGGCGTTGTTCGCGGCGTGAAAGGACGGCAGCCTCAGGATGATCTTTGACGCGCGCATCGCTAATCTTTCCTTGGTGGAGCCAGCGCCCTCCAAGCTGCCGACGAGCGCGGCGCGGGCAGGCATGGAGCTCGGCCCCGAGGTGGCCAGCTTCACGGCACCAGCGGACGTCCGGTGCGCCATCTACCACTTGGAGGTGCCCCCGGACATCGCTCAGGGTGCTGCGCATGGGCGGCGTGAAACTGGACATCGGCGTGGTGCCTGAGTTTTTTGGTGATGCCTACGAGCTGGAACTGGGCCTTGCGCTGTTGCCGGGATGCGCTAACTAACGTCATTGTCCGGGACGCGGCGGCACAGGGGGGCCGCTTCATCGGCGACTAGGTCCCGCCGACCGCGCTGCAGCAGACAGACGACCGGGCAGTGGCCGTCTGCGTCGACAATTTCTGCGCGGTCGCTGGCCCGCAAGAGCCGGCGACCGCAAGCTGCAGCTGATCTCGGCGGCCGCGTCTCGCCACCGCTTGCCGGCGCATCAGGCGCAGCAGGCTGGCGCCTCTATGATTATCACGGGCCTTGAGTTCGATGGCGTCAGAATTTTACCGCGCGGGCACCTCGTGCACGCCTGGCCCGACTGCGTCTGGGCATTCGTTCTGTGCTGCGCCGTGGACAGGTTTGCGCTCGCGGGGCGCATCGCGTGGGCCGCGCCGAGCAGGCGCGAGACTTCGTCGACGATGTCTGCCGTCGCCTTCGCCCGGAGCCGGTCGCCCGAACTTGTCCAGATTTGCGGCGTGGTCCTCGGCGAGCTCCAGTGGGTTCGAGCTGCGGTACCTCCGGTGGGCCGCGTCGTGGCGTCTACCGCGGGCCCCCGACGCTGCTGCCTCCGACTCATTTGGATTTGGCATCCGTGTCCGTGCCCGTCACGGGTTGCTCGCGTCCGCCGTCGCCGAGAGAGGTCGTTTCGCCGAGAAAGTAAGATGCGGGCTCCATGGCGCCGTTGCCGGTCGCCAGCATGCTGTTTCAGGTGCTCGCGAGGATCCTGGGCATGCTGCCCCCCTCCCTCATTTCGCGTTCCTGGCGTGCCTCGCAGGGCCCCCGCGGGCCATGAAGGCCCCGTGGTTCTCGGGGACTGGAGGGCGTCTTCAACAACGAGAGCTCCCTCCGCGTCGGGGCGGGGCTCCCTGGGTTCACCGAGGTCCCCGAGGGGATCCTGAAGGCGCTCGTGGAAGATGTCCCACTCCTTAGCAGGGCACGCGCGATGTCCGAGGGGGATGCCTTGGAGTTCGCCCTCCGCCCCATCCTGCGCTCGGGGCCCTTGCGCGGGCATCGCCTCCTCCTCTGCGTGGACAATGTGGCTCTTGTCCTCGGCGCTGGAAAGGACCGCGGGCGCGCGGCCAACCTCGCCAGGCCCCTGCGCCGCATTGCCTCGTTGCCCCCTGCATCTGGCAGCAGGGCGCACGTTCGCTGGGCGCCGTCGGAGTTCGAGCCGTCAGATGTCCTCTCGAGGTCCAGCGTCTTCACGGGGCCGCCGCGGCGTGGCGATCCTCGAGCAGGAGGCGACATCCCGCGGGCGCCTTCGCGGGGGCCGCCCGCTCCGCGCCATGGCGCGGGCGCGCCAGAGCCCCCCCTGCAGGCGTCGCTGTCGGATCTGTCGGGCGGGCGCCCGAGCCTCCTCGAGGCCGCCGCCGAGCACTGCGCGGCCCGTGCCCCGAGGCCGATCTCCTGGCGCCTGCGGACGGGGACGGGTTGGACGGGTTGGACGTCTGCGCATGTGCTCGTCGCGATCTTGACGGCCTTCCTGGCGCCCCTGGCCTTGGACAGTCTCGACGCGGCGACGGCGAGGGCCGCGTCGGCGGCGGTGC